GGAGGCTGAGGCAGGAGACTCGCTTGAGCCCAGGAGTTGGAGGTTGCTGTGAGCTGTGATGCTACAGCACTCTACCCAGGGGGATAGCTTGAGGCTCTGTCTCAAAACAAACAAACAAAAAAATACACTCCTTTTCAGTGGCCTAATTAGCAGTAGACAGAACAGGAACAGAAGACTGCACTATCAGGAGAATGCCTGCAGAACTATGCAGAATCTTCTGTACAATAGTCCTTGATTTGCTGTAGGAGATAAGTGGCCCTTGGCAGCTTATCTAATTTCAATGGGACACTGAATTAAATTATAAATAATAAGAGAGCAGATTTTCCTACCCTACTTACTGTATTGAAGAACTTTGCTTAGCTACCATTTTTTTCTTTTAAGCAGCCAGAAGCCAAGGGATCTAAGAACAAAGTCTAGAGTTAGGAATTTTAGTTGTTTATTTTGTTTTGTTTTGAATTAAGACAAGAGTCTCAACCTGTCACCCTGGGTAGAGTGCCATGGTGTCATCATAGCTCACAGCAACCTCCAACTCTTGGGCTCAAGTGATCCTCTTGCCTCAGTTTTTCTATTTTTAGTAGAGATGGGGGGTCTTGATTTTGCTCAGGCTGATCTCGAACTTGTGAGCTCAGCAAAACCACCTGCCTTGGCCTACTAGAGTGCTAAGATTACAGAGGTGAACCGCCAGTTCTGGCCTAGAAATTTGGTTTCTTATCTGGGCTCTGTCCTGGAATTCCTTTTGAGCTTCCATTTGAATCTGTGCTGCTCTTTTCTCACTTACTAAAGGATAACTGGACCAGCAGTTAAGATATCTAGTGTTAAGATACCATGTTGAAAAAGTGTTTTTATAATCCAAAGCTCAAAATTCCCATGTTGTATATTTTAGTCACTTTAATTAAAAACTTGATTTCAGGGCAGCACCTGTGGCTTGGTGAGTGGGACCCCATATGCCGAGGGTGGTGGGTTCAAACCCGGCCCCAGCCAAACTGCAACATAAAAATAGCTGGGCATTGTGGCAGGCACTTGTAGTCCTAGCTACTGGGGAGGCTGTGGCAAGAGAATCGCCTAAGCCCAAGAGCTAGAGGTTGCTGTGAGCTGTGATATTATAGTACTTTACAGAGGGTGACAAAATAAAACTCTATCTCAAAAAAAGAAAAAAACTTGATTTCAAGTGGCACTAATCTTATGGGGCTCTATGTTGTTCAATTCATATTGCACAGAAATTTACAAAGGCTCCTAGGTTTCAAGAAGAGGACAAAGTGGGACTTCAGTGACTCTACTCTTTGGGAGGTCATTATCTAATTCATGTCTTCTAGTTCAAGTTGTCTTAGGATCTGTAGAGCCAAGTTCAGGTTCACCTGAAGGGGAAGACCCTCTTTCTATGGTCATTCTCAGCTCACATTTGTTTTTGTTTGGGACGGAGTTTTACTGTGTTGCCCTCAGTAAAATGCCATGGTGTCACAGCTCACAGCAACCTCCAACTCTTGGGCTTAAGCTATTCTCTTGCCTCAGCCTGCCAAGTAGCTACAGACACCCGCTACTACACCCAACTATTTTTTTGTTGTTGTCACTTTTGTTTAGCTGTCCTGGGCTGGGTTCAAACTCACCAGCCCCGGTGTATGTGGCTGATGCCCTAACCACTGAACTATGGGCGTCAAGCCTCAGCTCACTACATTAATATGCCAGCAGTCTGGGCCTTTCTTGCTTCCTCATATTCTAATGTCAGGGTTGAAATATGTTTTACAGTGTTTTTTGCCATGAAGCTTAATTTATAGGGCAATTTTGGTCCCTGCTTACCTGGAATATGGCCCAAATGCCATTACTCTTCATTTCACCAGTATGCATACACCAGCATGCACAAACCAAACCAACATGTGAGTAACAGCTAGATTCTTGAAAGAGTCACATGATTCTGAGGGGAAATCAGCTTTCAGGCCTTTGCCTCATGTTGGATTTGGTGTGTGATTTCCCCATATAGTGCCAGAAAGCTGCCTGATAGAGTTTGAGCCAGATAGCCAGACAGGCTGTCACATGCCCACAGTACAGAATGACCTCACCGAGTAACTCATGTTTCCAGGATGTTGGGAAATTCAGACTTGCCAGAGGACTTTGTCCTTGCAAAGTGGGGGTGTCAGTGGTTGATATGATTCAGCAGTAAATTCTGAATTTCAAAACAACTAGGCAGTTGCTCAAGGAACATCTGAACTGTAGATCATCTACTTGCCAAAGGCAAAGCAGTCCTCAGAGCAGCTTGATCTCTGAACCAATTTAAATAGATTAAAATTAGATTTCCTTCTATCTCAAAGAAAATCATCTCAGAGAAGTTGACATTTTCAAAGGCACCAAGGCTTTCATTGCCTTAGTGAATACAATGGGTGTGGGAGGTGGGGCCCTGTAGGCCATCTTCTAGTTGTGCCTCTCAGATCTGCCTTGCTGTGTACATGGCTATCCTTCCCCCTTTGTCTTGGCTTCTGGGTCTGGTGAACAGATTTAAGACAAGGGACTAACATTCTAGTCCCAGTTTGGCCATGGGACAAAGCAATCATCTATATAATTGGAAGACATTATTAATAGGTATATCAGAGTAAAGCTTGTTTTTTTTTCTGGGTCACTTAAGGACAGTTCTCATGGGCCCCGGGAAAACAGTTTATCCTGCTGGAGAACTACTGGCACAGAGCTTAATGAGATATTAACAGGAGAGTCTAATAAAAACCTAAAGTCATTCACAGATTGTCCCATTCTCTGTAGCTGTACTTCACTAAGTAAGTACAATATAGACTATGAACATCTGGAATTACTGAAAAAAATCAGGTGGTAATGATACGTTTTACAAAGATTTAATTTTGAACTCCCCTAGTACATTTTAGTCATTTATTTGTTCAGTTAAGTTTATCTATTTGAAACAATGTCAGTTGCCTTTTTTTTTTAAACCATACTAGGATCATGCTATTTATTTATGAATGACAGTCTCACTTTGTCACCACTGGTAGAGTGCCATAGTATCATAGCTCACAGCAACCTCAGACTCCTAGGCTCAAGTGATTCTCTTGCCTCAGTCTCCCAAGTAACTGGGACTACAGGTGCTGGCCACAAAACCCAGCTATTTTTAGAGGTGGGGTCTCCCTCTAGCTCAGGCTGATCTTGAACTCGTAAGCTCAGGTGATAGGAGAATGCTCTTTAAATAGACTTGGAAACTACAGATTATTCTTCAGAATTCAGAAACATCTCAACTACTGTTGTGATCTGATTCTAGTTCTCCTAGAAGTATTTAGTTCTTCTAATTTGCTAAACATCATGCTAACAATATTTTCTTCTTTCCCCATGCTACCTTTCCAGTAAGAACACCAGTAAGCTAACATGGCTCCATAATTCTCAAATGACTTCTTAGAACTACCCATTTATAACAGATACTCTCTTGAAATTCCAAACTTTTGTCAGACCTGTTTTCTCCATTTCTCATAGTGACTTTCACTTAGTCTGTTTGACAGAGAAGAGACAATTGAAAGTACAAGGCTGTAAAGGATTTTTGGGGGGCAGAGGTTTGGGGGCTGAGAAGCCTGGAAGCAGAGGAGTAAAGCTCAAGCTTTGGGTTTAAACTGTAGCTCTGACATTTATTAGCCACATGAGCTTGGACAATGGCTTTGAGCCCATCTGATCCTGGGTAAAATGAGGATAACTTGTATAGCAGAAGAGTTGTAGAGAGGTATAAACAATGTATGTAAAGCACTCAACAAATCATTACTGTCTGGCAAGACCGCCTTGTTCTTGAGTTTAGGTCATTCTCTTCCCAGATGTCACTTACTATGTTCTTCAGCTCTTAGTAGACTCCTTTTCTCTTTGGCTAAAAAATGTAGCTGTTTCATTTCTATGCCTACTTATCCTGTTAGCTTAACCAAGATGGAACTAGGAGTGTATAAGTACATAAAGGTACTAATTTCTAATGTGGACACCAATTTTAAATTTAATTTCAGGAATTCTGTATAGAAAACCTCATGCTTAACCTAATTTACACTGGGAAAATTCCATATTCAGCTCTAAGTTATTCACTGAATTAACATTTTTTTAGTAATTCTCAAACTAATTTCCTTAATATGACCCTAGATAATGTTTAATTTAGATAAAGTACACATAATTTTGGATGAGATGGTGTTAAACGGCTGCATTGTGGAAACTAACCGGGCTAGAATTCTTGCTCCTCTACTAATTCTTGATAAGATGTCAGAAAGCTGAAAAGAAGGCTCTGCCAGACAGATTTCAAACAGCGTGGAATCCATCTAAAAATCTGTCACTCAAAGGAATCTGGAAGACCACAACTGCAAAATGGGGTGTCCTTCCAAAGACATTATAAATATGTGTTCTATAGTTCCTAGATGGAAAGTAAAACTGCATTTAAAAATATGTACAAAGAAAATTCTTCTCTGAGAGACAAGTTATATTTTCTAGCTGTATTTTTCCCACTTCAAATTTTCGGTACCTAAGGAACCTTTTTTGATCTGATTCCTTTTGCACATTAAATTCAAGAATAGCAGGATGGTGGTGAGAAAAAAGTTCTCTGTCAGCTAATAAAATCTCAAAATTAAACATGGCATTTTGATTAACATTATTTTCTAAATGATGTCCTTTTCCTTATCAAGTTTTAGTAAAATTTGCTTTTCTTTTTTAGTTTTTTAAAAATTACTTTTTAAAGACAGGGGTCTTGATACATTGCCCAGGCTTGGATGTAGTGGATACCTGCAGGCATGATCACAGCTCACCGCAGCCTCAAACTCCTGAGCTCAAACAGTCCTCCCACCTCAGCTTCCCAACTAGCTGGCACCACATGCGTGCATTACCACACCCAGCTTTAAAAAACTTCTCTAATGTGTACCTACGAAAGATTGCAGAATTCAATTTTATGTTATTTGATAGTTTCCAAAAGCCTTTAATATCCATTTTAAGGATACTTAGCAATTACAATACCATCGTGTAATTAAGTCTATGGCGAATGCTGTTATAAAATAATGGTTAGACATTAAAAGACAACACTGACAACTATCCTTCATGGCTGTTTTAAAGGGTTTGTCTTACTAATCCTAATGTTAATGAAATTTAGTTCAAAGTGTAAAATTGGAATGTAAGGCTGGGTGCGGTGGCTCACGCCTATAACCCTAGCTACTCTGGGAGTCCCAGGCAGGAGGACTGCCTGAGCTTAGAAGTCATACTCTTGCTCAGGCTGGTTATCTAGGCTGACTCAATACTCCCACCTCAGCCCCTCCCCTCAAGTAGCTGGGACTATAGGCGTGCACCATCACACCCAGATTTCAAACCTTTATTATATAGCATATTGGTATAATTGCTCTCTTATCATTTATTGTTAATTTCACTGTACCTAATTTATAAATTAATTAATACCATAGATGTGTATGTGTAGGAAGAAACATGTATGTAAGACTGGGTACTACCCTTGGTTTCAGCCATCTACTGTCAGTCTTAGGTCATATCCCCCCCACCCCCCCGCGGATAAGGGGATCTACTGTATATGTGCATGCGGGGGGGAGGGGGGTCAGATGCAAGGGAGTAAACAAATATATTTTTGGTATGTTAAATATTGTGCTATTCTATGCAATGTGTCAAGAATCTTTTCATCTCTACCATTAGTCTCCCAAAAGAGGACATAAATGGATGTTTGAGGGACCATTCAGAACTTTGCTGTTTTTTCTTTCCTGTATGTGAAGGGAATGGAGGCTTTTTTAAGTTCTTTATCATTTGTAAAAATCTACTTGCATATTTCAAAGTCTGTATCTATAATGACTGAGATAATCAGTAAATAGTGGACTCCAAGAGCAAACCTTAGCTGTTTGGGACTCAATTCATTAATGAGGCAGAGGGAAGGCTTCTGACCTGTAGGAACAGTGAGTGGTATGTGTGTATAGATCCACCTTTGTATTAAGTAGCCACCATCTGGGGAAAGCCCAGTCCAGAACAAAGTGCACTGGAGGTCTTTCTGAGACACACTAGTTGGGAAACACTGTCCTAGTTGGTAGGCACTTAATCAGTAGCACATTGAGGTAACTGCTGAAACTGGTACACCAGAAGTAGCTAGGGAGTGAACAAAATTAATTTTTGGGTCACACCAAAATAGTAGTTGAATTACATCTTGGCACAGATTTTAGTATCTTGAGAGAATAACAGTTCAAAAAACAGTAGGTAGATATTATGGGAGAAAATACTTAAGAACTTAACAGTACATGTAGATAGATACCCTGATAGATATATCCTAACACTTGACTCAAAGTAAACTGTGATAGGACGATCTGTACTTACAGGCTGTGTCTGTGTCTTTATGTGAGTTTTCATATTTATAAAATGTATGTCTCATGGTCAGCATACTTTGTTCTTGGCCTTGTTCTGAAAGACTCCTCTGACATTTCAAAAAAGTTATTGATTTCATAAAACTCACTCATCAATTTACCTACTATAACAACTTGCCTAGACCATGGCTCAACAGACTTTTGTAAATGGTCAGATAGGAAATATTTTTTGCTTTGTGGGCCATAGGGTCACTGTTGCCAGTAATGTACAAAAGCAACCATCAGTAGTATATAAATGAATGAACATGGTTGTGTTCTAATAAAACTTTACTTATGGGTGCTAAAATTTAAATTTTATATACTTCTCACATATTATTTTTTTCAACCATCTAAAAAACAAAACAATGCTTAGCTCAGGGGACATACAAAAACAGGCAGTAGGCCATAGACTGCTGACCTCAGTAATAGGCTAATCTTGGTAAAACTATCAACAGACATTTTAGAGAGTATAATAATGGCAACACTATACAGATAAACTGGATTTTAATTCTAACACTAGTTTATAGTTTGAGTCATGCATTCATGACTTTATTGCAACACCACAATAATTTTTTGGATCACAACACAGGTCATAGATTTAAATAGGTCATAGATTTAAATATTGTTATTATAATTATACTTTATTTTAACTTTAATTCTCATAGAGAACTGTGAAGCTGACAATAAGGTGAAATATTTAAATGCTGCCTCTGATTACACAATCACAACATTCTCATGCAGCAAATAAAAACAGTACCCAAATCATTAACTTTAGTGGGGGAGGTGTCTTCTAATATAGAAAGGGAATGTACCTTTTAAACAGGTAAATACCGGGCAATTTCAAGCATGCTTTTAGTTTCTTAAGCCCTTTGGCTAAATCAGACCTAATGACATTTCTTTCACCTATGCACAGATATGGTAATGATAGGGAGTTTGGAAAAAGGAAATACAGGCCCTTCTTCACAACCAGGAAACAGCCGTATCCTGGAGGTTACTTTACACTAACACAACATTCAAAAATCATTCTTGGATCATAGTCACTTCCTTACTTACACATCACTCCAAAAATAATGGTAAGTAGTGGATCTGGTCTTTAAAAAATTAACACAAACAACTGGCCATTTTTCCAGCTGAACAATACTTTAAAACTGAACACAACAGTTGGTTCACAGTGTGTGAATTTATGTATTTTTTCTGGCCCTCCAATTTCAATAAATGCATTTACTGTAGAAAATCATATGTCTATGTAATAATCTCAGAAAACATAAATCTGGATAATTCAAAATGAAAAGTATCTGGTTAAGCTCTTAGGTCTGATGACTACAGTGAAATAGTCACATAACACAGGCTTGTACGCTGCAAACATTTTAATGATTATTGTTGAGCATACATTTAGGAAATTTTTTTACTTCAAACTGCAACAAGTTAAATAAATGTTTATAATATACAAAGAAAATACAACCAAAAGTAAAACTTGCTTTAAGTGTGCCTTGCACCTAGACCAGTGTTTCCCCCCCCCCTTAATATATCTTTATTTTTGAGCTGCACAAACACACTTAAGAATTTGATCTTTATAGTATGGCATTTAGGAAATAAAAATATACTCCCACCTCAAAGAAATAAAAAGGTTGTGCATGATTATATGCCAAACAAAAGAGAGAACACTAGAATACTCTGATAGTGCAGGCATCATTAAAAAGGAAAAGAAAAAACTTGAGATGCTCATTAACTCTCTGTTTTAAGGAAGCAGGATTTTTGACCAAATAGCTTAAAAGCCAGCAAAACAGGGGATCCGTGATGGCAACTGTAGTGTATGGAGTATGAAATGACAAACTTTACACAAACACACTGTTAGAAATTTACCAGTGAACACTGAAGATCTGAGAAGCTGCTCTTTGGAACAGTCAAGGTAGGACCACCTTATTCCAGTCACATAAGCCCTTGTAAAGCAACACAGTGTTCTGTGCTATATACTTGCTGGCTGGGTAGTTAAAGAATTTGTTTTCTCATTAGCAGCTAACGAACTTACTCCACATGTTCTTAAAGCCTCAATGATGGGAAAAAAGGCAAGTGTCATTAGCGTGGAGGATCATATACTTCTCTGCACACAAACACAGGAGGCTTCACTAGTCTCTGATGTCTCCCACTGGGTGTTGAAGCTCAGTTGAGGTGAAAGCCTTTCTCCATGGTTGCAGCCAGCAAGCGCTCTCTCATAATCTCCTCAGAAGAATATTCAGGCAACTTAAGATAATGCACACACGTATTGACAGATGGATAGCTTGCATCAGTAGCGTCAACCTACAGAAACAAAGCAAATACAACCACCAATGAGTCTAAACATCTCTTTTTTTCTTTCATTCCTAAAGTAACTAAATTCCATGTGGATTCCCCATTAGCTAGAGTTTTACCTTTCGTACAACTGTGAGCCTGGGATGCAGGTTAGCCAGTCCCCCTGGGGGTAAAGTGGAACACCCAGTGGTGAACTGCAAGAAGGCTTTCCTTTCATCTGAAGACATGCCGCATAATACCCTCACAAACCTCAGGAAACCAGGGCTGCAAGAACAAAGATATGGTATTTTGAGTTGACAGATGATTTAAATGAATATTACCACCACTGCTTTGTAACCAGCAGTAACGCCCGTATAAAAACCATTATTCATATGTCACAAGAACAGTAGCATTGTCTAGAGCAGTGATTTTCAACCGGTGTGCTGCAAAAATGTTAAAAATCATTAATTAAATTATCTTTGAAAGAAGTTCAGAGCACAGTAAGTATATTCACTCTTTTTTTTTTTTGATCAACATAAACACTGGACTAGAGAGACTCTTGGATAACAAAGTATGAAATAGCTACATTAAAAATATTCCTCTGAGACTGTCTTGCACTTATAAATATCAAGAACTGAAACGCTGATGAAGTGTAAGAATCAGTAGAGTATAAAGATCATTTGGATTACTAAACAAAGTTGGCAAATCAGAAAAACCACAAGACACATTTTCGTAATTAATCTAAATATAGCTGAATGTACCAAAAGAGACCTGAAATAATTCATTTTTGTTCCAGTGAAACGATCACATTGTGATAAATTGATGTTCTAAAATACTATATATCAATAAAATGAACTAATGTCACAATGTGAATTTCAAAATCACAAAACTGGGCTCGGCACCTGTGGCTCAAATGGCTAAGGCGCCAGCCACATACACCTAAGGTGGCGGGTTCGAATCCAGCCCGGGCCCACCAAA